TCCTTTTAATTGTATATATGGCTTTACTTTATATACCTCATTTTTATACTTTTCTGCTGGATGGTTAAGACCAAGATAAAGCAAGACCTGTATAACAAGAAATGTAACTTTTGTTACATTTCTGTAACAAAAAAAGCTATCAGAATGTAACTTTTGTCACATTCTGATATGGTCAGTCAAGTATCCTCAGGATTTATCCTGTAACCCTGTACCGCAGGTTGAAGATCTTTTGTCAGTGTCAGCCATGTGGATCAGTCAAGGCCATTGCTTGACCAATTTGCTCTGGCACACTACATCATCAATCACATTTCTCTGTGGCCCCATAATCTCCTTAATCAGAAAACTTGGGACACAACTGAGCTACACGATGTTACAGTATTGGTTCTCCTATACCTTTCTATTTGTATTTCTTCTTTTGAGTTGTTATACTAGGGAGACTATGATATTTACACATGTGTGTCTGGTTTATTTCACTTATGAGTATATCTTCAAGTGGCATCCACTTAAATATAATTGCTTCAAGTTTAACATTCTTTATTGCTAAGTAATATTCCATTGTATAAAAATACCACGTCTTTTTCAACCATTCCTCATGTGATGGGCATCTTGGTTGTTTCCAAGATTTGGCTATCACAAATCGTATTGCTATAAACAGAGGTACATATATATCACTATGATATGATGATTTCAGTTCCTCTGGGAAAATTCCCAGTAGGGGGAGAGCTGGCTTAGGGGCATAGCTGGCTTTCATTCTGTTGTGGTTCATGGAGTTGTAGTCCTTGTTATCTTCCTGTGTTTTGAAAGATAAGTTTGTGGGGTACATTAACCTGATTTGGAGGTTTTTTCTTTTAGGTCTTGAAATACTTCACAACAAGCTCTTCTTGACTTGAGAGTTTGTGTTGAGAAGTTTTCTATGATCCTAATGGGCTTGCTTTTTCAGATGATTTGTTTCTTTTCTTTAGGAGCTTTCAATGTTCAGTTACTTTGTTAGTGATTATATTGTTTGATCAACTTGACATACCTCTATCTTGCAATCTGAGCAATCAATTTGAAGATAACAATATGCAAGATAACAGCCATTGTTAATTTCCTATCATTTTGGTTTGAAATTCTGTATCATTTTATTGTGTTTAAATTCTCTTTAAAATAAAAAAAATCTGTTCCTGTGTTGAATTTTTTAGAACTTTGACTATTATATACCTTGCTGTAGATTATTTTTGATCATAACTAATTGGAGTGGAGATGCCTCACTTCTCCGTAAGCCAAATTATTTTCCCATGCTTGGGAAGTTTTCAGCCATGACATTTGTGAACAGGTTTTATTAAAATGTCATTTGGTCTGTCTACCACTTTTTCATCTACTGCAATCAATCTTATATTGTTCTTTGTTACATCATCTAGTAACTGTTGGGGTGTTTCAGTCTTCATGATTTTTTTTTTCAAAGTTTTATTGATAAGGGGGCCTGGCCTTAGCTCAGTTGTTTAAGTGGCTGCTTCCACAAAGCTG